TAAGAACAAAAAAGTGTTATAAGCAAAGTTATGAACATTATAATGTGTTATGTCTATTCATTATATTTATTACAAAATTATTGTTAATTTCAGCACCATTACATACAAACACAAAAACTCATCCACAAGTAATTAAAATAATGATATCAAAGGTACCAAATGGTATTTGAAGGCAGTACATTGTTTTAAGCATAAACTTATCATTCTGAAATAGATGGAATCATCACATTGTCGTGAATCAAATTAAGTATAGCTCACTACATTTATGTTCAAAAAGTATTTCACCGGCTTGACAAATAAGTAATGGAGACAGCCATTTAAACAACATAGTCATCGAAATTTTAACCACTTTTTTGAATCCATTTGGCGTTAATTTGTAGCTTAAACAATGAAACAATACCTCAATCCATCTACAACACTTTTAACGTAGAAATTGAACAAATTTGCAAAACTTGCTAAAATTCAATCAAAACTTTCATCACAGGTTCTTTGAAACATATTTTTAGGAAAAGTTTGGCGCGTTAACTTTAAGCTATTGGATAAGAAAGATGATAATTATTGGACTTGTATTTGCGGAAAGCTATACCTTTATAGCCGTTTTTTGACGATTTGTTCAATACCTTCGAGGCACTAGAGTGTACCTGTTTGTCTTTTCATTCAATGAGAAGATGAAATGTTGTTTTGAGCAATTTTTAAGTATTACTTAGTCCCTATACAGCATTGTAAAAAGAAATAGATTTGACGATTTTTGACACATTTAACAATTAAATTTTGTAACAACACATTGCAAAATGTTTCTTTTTAACCATGTTTTTGACACAATAGACAATTCCGTGCCAGTGTCCCACAATGCGTTGACTTGCTTCCCAGTTAATAGAATATTTAAATTACAGCGACGTCCCACCAACTTGGCGACTTTAGCATGTTCTTTTGGCGTTAAATGACTTTGGAAAATAGTCTGTACTTGACTTTTCTTATCAATTTCTTTGAGCTCAAACTGTTTAATAGCAGAACACAATACTTTGTGATTTTTCCAATGTGAAATTTGACAAGATTTTGTACAGTATATCACTTGTCTGCACTGAGAACATCTTTAAACATTTTTCTTTATCAATTTCTTTGCAACAAAACATGCATTGTTGTTGTGAAAAGGGCTCTTGGCCAACTTCTGGGTTTATCGGGTGCCCCTCCTTGACAGACCACTCTCGTTTCCCTGTGTCTGACTTTTCCTTTGAGGACAATTTTGCTTAAAATGCTCTCCTGAGCCACATCCGAAACAATGGCTACAAGAATCTCCCTTGCCCTCTTGCTTGTTCTTTGTACATGCAGGTTTCTTCTTCTGGTAGAAATTAGAATTGCTGTATTGAGGCCTTACTTGATTAGCCAAAAGCCTATCCATTCCCACTTGAACTATTTATCTGCACTTCCATTGCCTCAACTTTTGTTTGCAACTTTCCAGCTTTTGGTTCTCTCTTTGTTTGATTATGAGACCTCTCATCACAACATCCTGTAGCTTCTACCTCATTTATTCTAACTTTAGGCCTAACACTCCCTATCAGCCTCCTATGTTCTTCCTCTCTAGCTATTATATCACTTAGAGTTGTGATAAAATTCTGATCAGATATTCCTGGATCACTTAAGCAAGGTCCCAATTTTGCTCTGATAGTGGGGTCTCTCATCGCAAACTCTAAGCGACGCAAAAACAAAGACTGTACTTGTTCTGGGGTATATTGGATCTCTGACCCCCTTCCTTGATCACAAGCAAAAATAACCTGTTGACGTAATGCAAGGGCTCTTGTGAGGAAAGTGAGAGCATCTTCTTCTACCATTTGACTCAATTTTGCTAGTTCTGTAAACAAATCAGTGGTCTAAACAAATCAGTGCCTTTCAACAATGGGCACCTAATGTGGGGCAGGGATATGAGTAAAATATTTCGAGTTGAATTGTGAGATTATGCGAATTAGAGCGAAATGAAATGTTCATGCAGGAAAATAGAGGTGAACATTGTGCAGAAGCAAAAAGAATTTAGAACGAAAATGTTGACAGACTGGAGAGAACTTTAGGTGGAAACAGGGCAGTAATTACAAGGTTTAAGCGAAAAGCAACTTTAATAATATAAGACCATGGTGATGTCCTCACCATGGAAATCTTAGCTAAGCTTGAGTCGATTCAGCAGAACAGGAATCTATTGTGTAACTTGAATGATAAAATTTTGTCAAAATGTCATATTGGTGAAATAGAGAAAGAAATAGAAGAATCAAGTTAGATAGATGTTAAGATGGAGGAAATTGTATCAAGAATTTAGGCTTGCGAAAGGGGGTCTGTTGTAGAGGCTTAACATGGATTTGCTGCGCCAAAGGGAGTTTCTATGCCACTGCCTGCTATTCTAAATGATTTGTCAACTGATCCATCACCCTTTCTACCAGCTAATAGACAGTTGAATAGGAGTTGTAGCTCCACATGTTCGGAGAATATTGGTGTAAAGCTGTCTAGAATTAATTTGCCTAATTTTTCTGGCGATGTGATGAAGTGCCAAGCTTTTTGACAAAGCTTTCAGTGTGCTATGCATGAAAATCAACTGTTTACAAGATGAACTATCTATTGCAATCACTTGAAGGAACTGCATAGAAAGCATGGGAGGGGCTGGCAATCACTAAAGAGAAGGCCATAGAAATTTTGCAGACAAGATTTGGTAATCCACAGCAAATAAATAGTGCTCACATACAGGCACTGTTAAATTTGTAGAGTTGTCCAAATGAAACTGTGTTATTGATATGCGACAATATTAATTTGCGGACTGGAGACATCAGGCATTTCATCGGAATGATATGGCAGTTTGTTGATGCCCGTGATAATGTCAAGAATGCTGACAGAAAATAACCTTTCAAGTGGTTCGAAAGACATCAGAACAAATTTGGTGAATAGACAAGAATTATAAGGAAAACAATTAAGGCAAGTGCAGATAAGCTTAAAGCTCGACATGAAGACGACTCAAAAATCCGAGAGAAGAGGCTCTGCAAAACATTGAGGGACAACGAGAGCTTTACAGTTATCAAAGATGGTAAAAACGAAAAAAACCTGAAGTGTTACTTTTGTCAAGGGCAACAATATGCAGAGAAGTGTAAGAAGGTTACCAGCTTTGAAGAAAGAAAATCAACATTGATGGAAGGAAATTGCTGTTTTAATTGTTTTTGGAATGGACATCAAGTGAGAACCTGTAGAAGTCCACTGAAGTGTCTTCACTGTAAACGCAATCACTACTCAGCATTGCACTAAGACTTAGTTATAGAAGGGAAGTGAGGGGGTTCCTGGACTGCAAACGACAGTAAATCACTAAAGAGAAAGAAACTTTGGTGTGGTTAGGAGAAAGAAACAGCTGGTAAACATCCTGCTTGATTCAGACAGTCCGAGAAGTTACATTTCAGCAGAAACAATGAAGAAACTGGGTTTGAAGATCAAGAAAACAGAGGAACGGTGAAGAAATTGGGGTTGAAGGTCAAGAAAACAGAGACCGTATACTTGAACAGTTTTGGTTGAAACAAGTACAAGAAGAAAATTGTGATGGTGTAACGGTAAATGTAGAAGTAGGAGATGAAATTGTCATTAACTGTATCAAGTCCCCTCATCTTTGTTTGCCATTGGGTACACTTGTGGATGTAAGTTTTTTGCCGCATCTATAAGGTCTGCAACTCGCTGATAGTTATACCACCAGCGAAAAGTGCATTAAGTTTGTTATTGGCGTATATTTTTATTATAACATAGTGCAAAGTAAAGTAAGAAAGGACAGCAATGGCCTTGTTGCAACTCAGTTGGTTGCTTTGTGGACCTTTTATTTGTAATGAAGGTGATGAAAGTTCTTTAAATAATGTGATAAATCTAATTGTTGATGTTTTACCTACGAGAGATGAAATTACAGATGCTGGTTGAGAAATCATTGAATCCCTGACAAAATTTTGGATACATGCATTGGCGCGTCTTTATGAGACTGAGAATAATGAAAACAAGAAGACTCATGATGGTGGGGTGGATATAAACTTCAATGATAGTGGCTATACAGTAAGTCTTTCATTCAAAGATGATTTCTATTGTAGTCTACCTTAAAATTATGAAATGAGTAAGAAACAGCTTGAAACATTGTTCAGTAAACTTAAAACGAGAGCCAATCATTTGAAACAACATGGTGAGATTTTTCAGCAGCAACTTTTTGATGTTATTAATTAAGGTTTCACAAGAAAATATTGATAAATGAGGGTCACATTTTCTTTGTCATTTTCTTTGTCAAGGGTCACCTTTGATGGTAATCCTGCTCTGGTTATCTCAACATTTCTAAAGCATTCGACAGGGTATGGCATGATGGTCTAATTTATAAACTGAAACGATGTGGTGTCTCTGGAGAGCTTCTATCTCTTATCCAATATTTTCTAAAGAATCAAAAACAGCAAACAATGCTGAATTGACAGTGTTCAATTTGGGAAGATATTTAAGCAGGAGTACCACAGGGTTCAATTTTAGGCCCTTTGTTCTTCCTTGTTTATATTTATGATTGTCGTAAAATATCCTAATCAACACATTCAGAGAATATCTTTACGATAGAGAAAAACATCTGTGCGAGTGCAAGCTATATCGATCAACAAAACTATCAACTCTTACAAAAAACGTGGTCTCTAATCAAAACGAGGCTATAACAAAATGGAGTCAGGGGTCTAAGCTATTATTCAGTACACTCCCCCAAATCAAGTGTCTTTACTCTTGATTTAATGACTGTGCATGTACTTTCAATAATTCGTCAGCTGCAAAAGCTGCTACTCTTCTTCGCTTGACTTCTTTTGCCTGAACTTGCTCTTCCTTAGTATATTGCTCTTCTACTTGTGCTTTTATCTCTAAGGGGCATATTCCTTGAAGTGGTCTTTCCATTACAATCTTCCACCCTTGAGATACCGCATCTAATCTTACTGCTCGAACTACATCATCTCTTCCTTTTATGAAACTGGAGATTTTGGCTAACTTCCAGAAACTTCGTTCAATGGTAGTGTCTATGATCAATACCAAAGTTCCAAGCTCTGGTAATGCTTCTTCTCCTTTAGTCGTGCGATGATATTCGCGAAGACCTAAAAAATTCTCCTTTGACCATCTATTCCATACATGCTCTAGCTTAGCTCTCAAGAACTTCATTCTCTTGTTCACGTTCTTGTCATCAAAATCTGCATCGTTGTCATGCTTGACATCTCCTATCATTGATAGTCGATGACCATGAATCATATGATTTGGAGTGAGGGGCTCTTCCTCTAAATCTGATGTTTGATAGGTAAGTGGTCGATTATTTATCATTCCTTCAACTTCTATCAACATGTTTTCCAGCTCTCTAAAGGTTAGTTTTACCTTTCCCATGGTCTTGAATAATGCTGTCTTGGTTATTCCAACTAATCTTTCAAAGAAGCTGCCTTGCCACGGTGCCTTAGCTATATTGAAATGCCAATCAATGCGGTTGGCCAACAAAAAATTCTGCAATTCTTGCTCTACACATGTCTTCTTCAAGTGCTTTGCAGTGGCAAGGAATGTTTTTGCATTGTCACTTATTACTGTAGCAGGTGCTCCACGTCTGCTGATGAATCTTCGAAACATTCCTCTAAATTCATTGGCTGTCATATCTTCTGTGAGCTCTAAGTGTACTGCATGGGTTATACCGCATGTGAATAGTGCAACATATGCCTTCTCTTCATTCTTCAAATATATAGGTCCTGCAAAGTCAACTCCGGTTGTACTAAACGGGTTGCCTCGAACCACCCTCTCTGCTGGTAGCTGTCCAGATTGAGGTGGTGCACATGGCTTTGCATTTCGCTTATTGCAAACCATACATTGACGTAATTGTTGCTTTACAGCCTGGCGTCCCTTTAAGACCCAAAACTTGCTTCTGACTTCCGCTAATGTTGTATTTACTCCCCCGTGTCGTGTACGCTTGTGACACTCTGAAATTAGCAAACTTGTAAATCTGCTATCCTGGGGTAACAGTATTGGAAACTTGCTTTCAACTGGTAGTGTTGTGTTTTGAAGACGTCCTTGGCAGTGTAAGATTCCATTGATTTCTATCACTGCAAGCTGTGTCTTTATTTGAGAGTAACTATTTCTTCCTTTCACCATCACTTGTGAATCTTTTATCCACAATTCTTCTGCCTCCTGGATCTCTTCTACACGCAACATTTGAGTATCTGGCCTTTTCTTCTCCTTGAGGCAACTTATAAACCTAAGAACAAGAGCTGTATCTCTCAACAGTTTGCCATATGAGCCATAGTTTTCCGCAGGCACTAAATTGTTGATTGACAGACTTGGTTCTTCTTCAGCAATTGGAAGTGTACACTGTCTTTCTTCAGCCTTGCTTTCAACTGTTTCGATCAGGTGAGGCTGGTGGGGATAATTTCCATCCACTATGAACTCTGGTTCATTCCACCAAAGCTTGCTTTGCTCTAATTGCTGGGGAGACAATCCTCTTGTGCCCAAATCTGCAGGATTCTCAGCTGTGGGCACATATTTTAAATTTACATCCGTTGTCAATGCTTGTATCTCATCTACTCTTCGCTGGACAAACTGTCTGTATTGACCTCGATTCTCTAGCCAATGTAGCACTGTGCTGCTGTCAGACCACAGAACTAACTCTTCTGGCTCCCAGTTCTTTAGAGTTTCTCTGACTGTTTTCAACAAACGTGCTGCGATCCTTGCTGCTGTTAGTTCCAACCTGGGTATTGTCACTCTTTCCTTATTGGAGGTAACCTTGTCTTTGCAGTAACAAGGTGTGCACCTGACTGGTTTTCATTGTGCCATACAAGGTATACAGCAGTGCAATATGCAGCCTTGCTTGCATCACCGAAAACATGAATTGGAATCTTCCTTGGTCCACCGATTGCTGGCATAATGCATCAGGGAATCTTGAGTTCAGTCAACCTTGAAACAGCTTGCATCCATTTCTTCCATCTCATTTCAATCTCTGGGCTTACTGGCTCATCCCAATCCTTGTTTTCCCTGCAGATATCTTGGAATATCAGTTTTGCAGTAACTGCAACTGGGCCCACAATACCCAGTGGGTCATATACCTTTGACAGTCTGCTTAGGACTTCTCTTCGTCACTTTACCATTCTTCACATCTAGCACTGCTTCCATACTTATTCCTCATGTGTCCTCTTCTGGATTCCATTTTAATCCTAAAATTTTACTTTGTGAATCATTGGTACCTAGGCTTTCCTTTGCATACGTCACTGTAGTTGAATATTTTTGATCACTTTTCTCCTCTATGTGCTTTCTGACCTCCACATGGTTGGTCTTCCACTTATGGAGTTGAAAACCTCCTTTTCTCATAATCTCTGTAATTTTGTCTTTCAACTCTATGGCTTGCGTACTGTCAGCAGCTCCACTCACAAGGTCATCACAATACATGTTTGGTAAGACATTTTGGACAACTGCTGGTTCTTCTTCTTCGTACTTCTTGAGGTGCCTTTGCAATGTTGCATTTAACAAATATGGACTTGGTCCACTTCCAAAAATGACTCTAGTAAACCTGTATTCTTCAACCACAGGTTTCTCATTTGTGAAATCTTCCACCCACAGGAATCTCATACTGTCTCTGTCCTTCTCATCAACTAAGATCTGATGGAATGCACTCTTGATGTCACCAACAAGCGCCACTGGAAAGATCCGGAACCTCAACAGCACATCATATAGCATAGGTAGCAATGATGGTCCCGTGTATAAACACTCATTCAAACTCTTATCTCCTTTTCTTTCTTTTGCTGACCCGTCGTACACAACTCGGACTTTTGTGCTCCCCGCATTCTCACGTATTACTGGATGGTGTGGTAGGAAATGGATTCTTTCTCCTGTAGGATGATCTGGTACTTCCTCAATTATACCCTGTTCTATCTGATCTTTAATGACATCATCATATTTCTTTAATATTTCCGGTTCCTTCTTTAATCTTCTGAGTTGCGCATTTAGCCGCCTTTCACGAAGATTTCTGTTTGTTTGCAAATTGACTCTATCTGATTTCCATGGCAACTGCACACTGTATCTCTCTCCATTGAAAGTTACTGTATCTTCAAATTTCTCTTCCACTGAGTTTTCTTCCCTGATCCCTACTGTCTCCAAATCCCACAGTTTGGCTATCTGATTGCTCAGATTTTCCTTATCAGTTGTCAACAGCAGTGAACTTGAACAACTTTGATCCTCTGCTGAGTTTGTTGGTCCCATTAGAGTCCAACCCAGTGTTGTTTCTTCTGCAACAGGATCACCAGCATTTCCCCATTTCATGTTTCCTGTTTTCAGCTTGCAAAGGTCTTCCAATCCAATGATGACATCAATTTCAAGTTCTCTTTCACTTGAAATATCTGACTGAGCAGATATGTTGCCTTTCTCCATGCACAATGTCCAGAACCTTTCTTTCTGTCTTAATGGCTTGGATTTCAGCAAATTAGCAGTTTTCTGCAACATCTATGTCTGATCACACCCTGTATCCAACAGACATCTGCAAATAATACTTGGCTTTCCCTTGACATTCACTTTGGCTAACACAGTTTGATATGCTATTCCACCAGGTGTGACAACATGCATATTTGGAACACTCTCTTCTTTTTCACATATCACAGGGTGATGCTCCCCTTCATTGCACTTGCTGCAAGGCTTCTTGTTGTAGCAATCTTTGACACGGTGACCTTTCTTCAAGCAGCAAAAACATCTCTTATACCTCATCAATATTGACTTCCTCTTCTTCAATTCAGTGACAACAGAACAGTCAGCACTACTGTGCTCTCCAAGACAGAAAGCACAGGTTGCATTTGGTGGAATAGCAAATGCTTTCCCTTTGTTAGGATTCCTTTCTTCTCTTGAATTCTGCACTCTTGGTGTTGCTTCATCCATACCCCTGAACAGGAGTTCCTCTCTGAGCTTGTTCAAAAATTCACTCATGTTCCACTCATGGTCTACAGACATTGTTCTTCTGATGGTCTACAGACATTGTTCATTGTTCTACAGACATTGTTCTGCCTTTAACTACTCATTTTGAAGGCAGAAAGTCTGCAAGAGGCATTCACTCATCCCATGACAACCGTTCCTCTTTCAAATGCTATCGCTAAAGCTAGTTTAAGTTTGTGTCAGTCAGACAAAGTAACTTTGCAACGACCCTTGCTCGAAGAGTGGCAATGGATCAAAGACATGCCTCCGAAGTCTGCCGTTTGGATAGTAGACGGAGTGGCAGCAGTTCGCTCCATCAAGCCGATGCCAACGTACCGAGCGCGGATGCACAGCCTCATCGAATTTGTTGCTCTCGAAGCTGGGTATAAGTTGGTGAACCAGGGCCAAGAGGTCATTTAGAAGTGTACTACCTAAACATGTTGCAAGGATATAAATGCCACGAGCTCCTGTATCGAAATTAGAAGCAAATTGATTTTATAAGACTGATTTTGGAAGACACATTGGGCTTTTGCTTTTCTCCATGTAAAACGCAAATTGTTCCCATTTCGGAAGAGATGTTTGCCTTAATCTACAGGCTTTACATGCTTTATCTGGGTGTAATTCTAAATCCTATTTCCGCAACGTAGGAAAGGTGAGGTTGCTGCAGACAGTCATCAAGAGCCCGCGATACCTTGAACTGCTTGACAGCCTTGGAGAAGAAAAAATGGTTAGTGATAGCGATATAGAAGATTTTCAGAAGTTTGTTAAAATGGTAATGTATTCTGGCAAGGTCAAGAGAAGCTATGTGGAAACAAGACTAAAAATTTATAACAAAATGAAAGTAACATTTAACTCCCTTCTGATTCACATTCCTAGAAGATAGCCTACTGCTGGTTGTGTTGCGTAGAACCATCCGACAAGACTTTCTTTGGAAAGTTGTGGCTGGAAAGGTCTTCTGAAGAGTCTTCCTTGAAATCTTTTTGCTTCACGTGGCCCCTTCTTTGAAGTCAAGACGGAAAAACAAGAGCCGACTTTCAGAAAGCGTTGGGGCAGATTTCGAAAGGGGCAGTGAAAATCTCCCTGCTCCAAAGAAATGCAAGAGATGAAAAGAAGTACCGAAATAGGCCCGTAGTGTCGACGAAATCAGTGCTAGTAACGAATACAAGGAAACAACAGACCAGGTAGACTCTGACCTAAGTAGCACTGAACTTTCTGATGAACTAGAGAGTGAACGGGAAGTTTATGACTTCAGTTCGTCGGAGGATTTTGGCGGTAAATGGATTTGAGGCAAATATATACCGTAAATCCTCGAATTAGCCCCCTGCGGGCTCATTTATTTCTAATATTTTTGGATGGGGGCTTATTCAAAGGGAGGGGGGCTAATACGAGGGGGGTTATAAAATTATTGTAGACATTAAGAAGACATTAGTAAAAGACGTCATTTGTTTCAATTTTTAATTTCTTTATGAGCATTTAATTAATTACTACCAAATGTATGAATTGTTGTGATAATTCAATAAAATACCGTAGGCAACCTCAGATGGCAAAAATCATCAAATTGAGGGGTCCCATTTGAGAATTTATGGTAGCAGTGGGGGCTTATTCGAGGGGGGGCTTATTGACAATTTGTAGTTCTAGGATGGGGGCTTTTTCGAGGGGGAGGGGGGCAATTCGAGGATTTAAACGTTAATTTGAGTGATGCAGAATAATTACCAAACAAAACATTGCCACAAAACGATCCAGAAATGCAGTTGATTAGATCAGAGGTTTTGACTTAAAATCTACTGCTCGACGGCCATTTTGAAAGTGATGACGTCATCATTCAAAATTGCTGACATCGTTAAATTACTGATGTGTATATATCATTGGAAAGCTTTCCTTCAGGCGAGCCCGAATTTATATTGACGTCAGATGTATACTTAAGAAGTTACAATGGTTTTGAGTCTAGGAAACATACACTTTTCGACGTCATCGGTAGCGTGACTTTGATGAATTTTTGAAAATGTTGTAAGGGCTTAAATAATTCACTATACCATATTGTTCCATAACCAGCCGAGAAAACAAAGGTTCGGCAATGCCTAAGGGCTATATAAACAGAATCATGGGCATTGCACAGATGTGGTGCTCTCTGGCAAATGGAATGAGGTGGCTGGCATCTCTGTGCAAATAAAAGACATGGACCCTTGGTGGAGGGGTATTGTGGAGACTCCCTCATTTTTAAACACTTGTACCCCTGTATCTGTCAGACCCATCCTGTGACAGCTATAAGCTCTAGTCACATTCCAAGAGCTAGAGCAGCAACTACATGTCCTAAGAGCTAAAGTCTTCTTAGTGTGATGGCAGGCAGTTCAAGCTACAAATAAACGATAAATTGTATGTTTTGCAAATTATTATGAATCCAAAACTTAAACTCTCGGAAGAGAATATGGAATTACTCTAGCTGATCGCATAGAAGTGAATTAATGGTAACTAGAATTCTACTTTTTTAAATAAAAAACTTTACGGAACTAGGAATTACAAATAAACCAATCAAATTATTAAAAAAAAGGATTTACATAAAAACTTGGGTGAAACACAGTAAAGGTGTGTATGAGAAAATAAAAGAAAAATAGTTAGTCAGAGTGCAGTCAAGGACTAAAAGTGGATGCCGAAAAGAATGTAAGAGAGGCTGTTACAGCTTAGCAGTGAATAAATAAAGTATGTTGTGACGCAAAGAAGAAAATGTCAAGATTAATGAATGAAAAAGGGCTAATGATACATACCCTACCCCTATCTTGAAACGTCCCCTATTTCAAAAAACCAAAATACGCCACCATTCGATAATTACATATAATCACTTATTCATTTTCATACAGTATAAACTAATTGTAATAACACTCTGTGAGACCATCATTTTGTGGATGATAAGCGGCAGTGTTGATCTTTTTAATTGAGAAAAAATCACTAATCTCCTGAACAAGCTTCGACAAGAATTTCTTGCCACAGTCTGACAAAAGTGTGTGAGTTGCTTTGTGTCTAGAAATTATCTCCTTGACAAAAAGCTGTGCAATAACATCGGCACCTGCGGAGCTAATAGCAAAAGCTTCTGGCCATTTTGTCAGGCTGTCTGTCAAAACTACAACATAGCAGTTACCATTGTCTGAGATGGGTAACGGTCCTAGAACATTGACACACACACGATCAAAAGGTCCTTCAACAAGAATACTATGCATAGGTGCTATTACATTGCGTTTAGGCAACTTCTTGGACGTGCAGTCCTTGCAAGTTTCTATCCAGTGAGTTATGTCCTTGTACATTCCTTTCCAAAAATAGAGCTGTCTTATCCTATCGTATGTTTTCCGGACTCCTGAGTGGCCTGCAGAAATGTCATCATGCGTCTATTAAAGTGAGTCTATCAACTTTTTGCCATTTCGTAGTTGGAGGTCCCGTTTCAATTTTATTTCTAAGGGCCAAGTAATAGCCTCTCCGATAATAGCCTATAAGTCCTAGAAAGGACCTAAGCTGCGTAAGATCTTGCAGAATAGGAAAATTTCCTTTCATCTCGGCACAGACCATCCTTAGAAACTACATGTCCTAAGTATTTGACTTGAGGTCCTTCACTTATTAGGGAAAACACAGATTCTAGCCTTGCTAAATGTTCCTTCAAAGCGTTGTCCAAATATACCAAGCATGATGCCCAAATTTAAACCGGCAAGCAAAATCTACATTATAGGCGCTGAAATGATGCTAGTATTCTGCATAGACCAACGGGCATGACTGTAAATTCCCATAAAGGTACCTGGTGCAGTAAACACAGTCTTATGCATTTCCTCCTCCTTAAAGGGTAATTGCCAATAACCTGACACCAAATCTAGAGTGGTGGAATATTGTGCATCTCCTAGGGTATCTAGGGTCTCATCTGTGCGTGGTAAAGGGTAGACATCCTTATGCGTTACCGAGTTAAGTTTGCAATAATTTACATAAAACCTAGTGCTACCATCTTTTTACCACGCATAGGGCTCTTATAGGTCTAATAGCTCCCCTATTTGCCATGTCCTTAATGTGGGCATCTACTTTTTTCGCTGAGCTTATTGAATAAAAAGGTTTTAAGCTTTTGAGAAAAACTGACAACAGACAATGATCTTTTTATATCTACTCAGATATTGTTCCAAAAATATATACCCAAAGAAACTCACAGATCTGAGACCACATTGCAAAGTGTTTTTTCGTATTAAAAATATCATTATTGTGGCTTGCCGTGTACCATATTTGACACAGATTCAAAGAAGTTGTGAAAGCAGCTTGATGAGGTCTTCAAGCTTCAAAATCATCACGTTCAAAAGATAGGAGTGGAGGGTGCAGTGAAATGATCAAAGCAATCGCTTTCACCACTCTTTTTGCAGGAGATAAATAGGTTTGATATGAACATCATTTGTAAAGCCCCAGGCTATTATAATGAATTAGAGCCCCGTCCAACTAGAGCCCCGTCCAACTAGAGCCCCAGCCAAACGAGCCAACATTTCTCCTAACATTTCAACTAACATGCTCTTTTCACATGTTGG